AAGGACGAGGGCATGAGTGACTGTGCACAGAGCATCCCGATCCAGGAAGGGGCGCAACTGACGTACCAGGCGAACCTGTTAGTAACACAGTTGTTAAGTGAATTTGGCCACACCTACAGAATAGGTTCTAAAAAAGTCTTGAAACCCACCACTGCTTCTAACACTGCTGATGTTACCTAGATAGGTAATGAAAAGTCTGCATGCGAACAACCAAGTTCAGAGAGAACCAAGGACCCTCACAGTTCAACTCTGAGGAACAGATACTATAGTCTCTTCTATCAGCCTTAGGAATGAATGCTGTCTGGCGGACTTTGGGCCAATCAGAATCAGAGCTGGAAGGTGGTCCCTATCATTCTACTTGCATTTTTTTACGTGCTTTCAAACTGCTAGGTTGGCAGAAGCTGGGACAAGTAACAGGAGCTCACTCCGTTACGCAGCGCTAGGGATTCGAACCGCCGAACGGCCAACCTTTCCGATCGACAGGCTCAGCCATTGAGCCACCACGTCCCTCTAAGGCAAATAAAGCAACCTTCAATTAAAGGATTTCAAGGCGCTCTGATCATTGTCATACTTCGAGCGAATACACAGTTTTCTACACTTTAAAACACCACTGACCTAACTAAGGATACATATTTTATATGCAGCATTCCACATGATTTGTAGGCAGCATTATTTTGATATATCTTTGGCAGCCAAAGAGTGATGGAGGGAGGGGGGGGAAGCATCATAGCTTCCTTGTTGCTCGTTTTATACATCTTACAAAGCTACACCGGGATTAATTATTAAAGATTATGCTGCTTTCTTTCCAATTTCTTCAAAACCGTTCAAGCAAAATGCTTGCTAATGGACACCGGGGCAACCTTGAAACATTTTGATTAATGTCATTTTATTCCCAAGGGGTATAATATCATCCATAAAGTATTCCTAGCCCATCCTGATGATGATTGTGGCCTTTTGCAATGATTAGCAAAATCGGGTTTTCATCATCTGCTTGAAAACAGCAGCATCGGAACTATGTGTATGTTACTCTGTCCTGGGACATTAGAATTCAAACAGAAAAGCTGCCATGCCCCAGCATATACCTTCTACATACTGTTGCTCTCTAGCCCCATCTAGTGTCCGGAGGGGTGGATATAGAGATAGAGATAGACAGACAGACAGATAAATGGATGGATGGAGAGATAGACAGACAGACAGACAGACGTATATACTGTATATATAAGATATATCGATAGACATGTATGTATATGTATCTACTCAGGACGTTACATCACAGAACTCAGGAGGTTACAATGCAAAGGCACAGGATGTTACAACCCAGGATGTTGCAGCACAGGACTCAGGATATCACTACACTAGAGCTCAGGATGTCATCACACACCCCATTACCCAGGTTCGTTACAACACAAAAGAACAATGGGCACACAGCCAGTACCTCAGCCACACAGGATGTTA